ACAATTTTCCAGTTTGTCAAATGTCTTTTCTTGTATTTATAGAACGGTTCCTATCGTGGCATTCCATATGGCTAGAACCCTATTTCACTGTTTCCTTAATTACCGGACGAAGGCCTTATATTTTCTAAATTATAACTTTCTTACTTTTTTTGGACTGAGGTCTGCTACGTCTCCGATGTGGCAAATCATTCTGTCATTTTATTTATTTATTTATTTGCCATTAAATCCGCTTTTCTCGTTACTGTGGTCTATATTCTCCACCTTACCTAAAAATAAAAAAAGGCCATTTTTTTTTTTTTTTTTTTTCGGAGGAAGGGAGCCTTTGTTTGTTATCGCTTTGATAAAATTCGATGAATTGGTTCACACGCTTTCTTTTATCCTTTGTCGTTCAGAGATTCAGTGTTCGTTTTACTTTTCTCTTTTTTCTTTCTTTTTTTTCTTTCCTTTTTTTTCATTCATTATTTATTGTTCATCTTTCCATTTTTCTTTCTTTCCCTTTTCTTCACTACATTTTCATCTCCCCTCTTGTCTTACACCTTACCTTTGATTCTTTTTCTTCTTCTTCTTCTTCTTATTATTATTATTATTATTATTATTATTATTATTATTATTAATCTTCTTCTTCTTCTTCTCCTTCTTCTTCTTCTTCTTCTTCTTCTTCTCATTCTTCTTCTTCTTCTTCTTCTCCTTCTTCTTCTTCTTCTTCTCCTTCTTCTTCTTCTTTTTTTCTTCTTCTCCTTCTTCTCCTTCTTCTTCTTCTTCTTCTTCTTAAGATAAAGTCCATAAGGACAGCAACTGAACCTAAAGCCCTGTCCCAATGCAACTACTCGTGGTCAACAGCAGTTACGCGCGAGAAATAGCCGTAACAGCCAATGGACAAGCATACAAATTACCTATAAAACCGACTCTAGTCGCGTGACCTTTGTTCAGCCTCCCTTCATTTTCCTTTCAAGACATCTATCTATCTATCTATCTATCTATCTATCTATCTATCTATCTATCTATCTATCTATCTCTCTCTCTCTCCCTATATATATATATATATATATATATATATATATATATATAAGCTAATTTCCTATTCAAAGCCACCTTCAGTCTAACATTCCCGACCACACAAGCACATGCGCACTTTCTACACGCGTTTTCAGTTTTGAAATCCTTTTCCCTCCTTTTTATTCTCCTCGACACGATTCTCCTTCCTGCATTTCTCATCGTCTCTTTGTTGTGCTTTACCAATTTAGGCAAATCTCTGGGTGTCAAGGACACATTGCTGTCCAGAAAGCATAAAAAAAGTCCCCAGCTGAAGAAATCGTTGTATAAAAATGTACAAATCAGTACAAACTCTTTTAATTAGAAATATCACCGTGACTAAAATAACGACAGGAATTTATTTTTACTGCTAATCTGAAAACAAGAGATATGACGTTCTCTGGTTACAATCAAGTACATATATTATTTGTTGGACCAATGTCCAATACTTATCGGCAGAAAGCTATTATTTTTATAAATTCATCGCATCATTTTTTTTATCTTGGGTTTCTATGACTTCATGCGAATTCTGATAAATTGTGTATATTATCAAAAATTAAAAAAAAAAAGATTCTTGTTTTGGATCCAATATATTCTTCCAGAAATACTTTCATATCTTGAAAGTTTTGGAACAACAAGAGATGATTCACATGGAATAAAACAAAAGCCAGATGATAAACGCTTTGGCATATATGTCGGATATATAAGAATTTCCCACTCCAACTCGATGATCGATTACTTCGTCGTAATGGCAATATGAGGACAAATGATAATCTGAAGGATTCGAGTCTGGAAAATACGCCACACGTGAAGGAAGAATTTGTTCAAGTCCATAATTCTTTCTTATTCGTGCGGCATATTTACTAGTTGACCTCAATGCGCAGAAAATGGGCCCATTCTCCTTCAATATGGCATTCAAACAGAAGAGATATTATATTAATAATATAGCGTTCATTTTTTTTTAAATAGAGCGTTAAGATGTCATCTGATAAAATTACCTGAGGATACCTTAAGGCTGAAACCAAGGTAGCGGGTTCAACTGACCTCCTGATTTTTAAAGTTAAAAGCTCTATATATTCAATATCTGTCTATATTTCTGAGATGAGGTATTATGTACACTATTTACAATATTCGGACTATTATCCTCATCATTATATGTATGCATTGTCATATACATTACTTACATTATTCGGATTATTGTCATCATCTTTGTCGCCATATTTATTACAACGTTTCGGCCGTTGTACGTTCCGGCCTTCTTCATGTGGTTGGAATGTCGAACTACACCCTTTATTTCGCTCACTGGGGTAAACTGTTCTAGTTAATGGATGTCAGTTATCAGTTAACGCCATTATCCACTTTAACTCTTCAAGGACATATGGCACAGTAGATAAAGGCGTTAGTTAGATCCAGTGACAGGACCCAAAGAATGTCAGTTCAATACCTCGATAAGGCTGTAGAGAACTTGGAGAGGGAAATTAACAGGCGATAACTGATAACCACATGAGAAAGGCCGGAGCGTACAGCGGCCGAAACGTAATAAATGAGGACAATAGTCCGAATAATGTAAATAGTGAGATCTACATTATCATGTTTTACTTTTATTTTTTCACACGTGTATTGAGCACTTTTTAATTCTACGTTTTTCTAGTTTGATTCATATCTGATATATATATATATATATATATACTATCGGGCGGATTGGGCCTCCGGTTTGATCAGAAGTTTTACAGTCCCTAACTCTTTGTATATTGTCAGCATTGGAAGCTCTCCTCGGCTGTTGTTTGATCTGGGCTTTCATTTGCACGGAGCTGTTTTGATTGCAGTCTTGTCCTCTGTTGGCGGATTTTTTTTTTTTTTTGCGAGGCATACTGATGCCGTATGCGACAGGCAACAATAAACTCGAGAAGAACTCAAAATTGATCGCTGCATTTACATATTGCATTAATATTCAAGCTAACTTTTATAAGTTCAAAGATAATTCTTCTGTCGCAACTTAATTTTGACACAATTTGATGTACATAGGTCCTTACTTTCCGTACAAACAATTATTTTTATTTCATGGGTGACTTTCGCTGAATTTCGCAATTAATTTCGATTATTGCCAAATTTCTTTCCAAGTTATAAAAATTGATATCGTACAAAAAGATTCGTCGCCAAAAAATAGCCTAAGAAAATCACGGAAAATTATCACAGTAATGAAAACTTGTGAATCCAAATTTTCTGTAACATGAGCTATTGAAAGTTAGAGATTTGTGTCCCTTTGATTGAAAAGTATGACAGTGACCCACTGATATTTCCATTTATTATATATGTGTGTGAGAGAGAAAGAGAGAGAGAGAGTGAGACAGGGAAAGAGGAGAGTGTATGTGTGTCTGTGTCTGTGTGTGCATCCATGTTAGGGAGGCTGTGTTTATTCCAATTACAAGCCTGCACACTGGCAATTACATAGCGTACACAGAGACGAGATAAGTTTTTGTTTTCTTCTATAAATCTCTTTCGGCAATCGAGAATAGTCGACTATTGCAAAAATAGATAAAAACAAATGAAGCTAAAAAAAGAATATGCTGATCATTTGTATTGGCATTTCATTGTTGTTCATCGCTCCTGCTCTGAAGAAGATAGACTCTAGCTCTTCCGAGATTCATATACTCGATGATGGCTTCAAACATCACTTTACTAATTATATCTCTTTGCGCACTAATGTCGGAAAGTGTTGCGTGTTTTTTCTTTATAATTAAAAAAAAATTCTTTTCCTTTTCGTTTTCTTTTAAGTCTAATTCCCTTTCATTCTTCAAGTTCGGTCCTTTCCTTTGCCAGTAGACCATCGTTTGACTAGCCCGCCGCCATTTTTTTTAACAGACCACCAGACCTGATTAGCTACCTATTCCTTTGCCAATAAAGAACACCGCTTGTCCATTTTTATTCTACAACCCCCGTTTCTTTAATGCAATCCTTTCTTCTGAAGTGCAGTTAGTGTAAAGTATAGCGGCTTGGAATGTGAAAACAGAGAGCCAAGTTCGAATTCCAGTCGGGTCCGTTATACTCACTTACGTGCACATAAACTTGGGAAAAGTGTGAATCTATCTCCATCTTGTGCAAATTCTGTTCTTCACGCTCAGTCCCCACCCTTGCATCTTAGTGGCTTTATCGCCTTCTTTGGGGGTGAAATAATTTAAAAAATGCCACCTAAAAACAGTCATTCATTTCCAACCTTGCACATGTAGTATCTCTACCAATTCAAAAGTAAGAAACAAAACATAGGAAACACGACGATAAATGATATTATAGCGCCAACTTGAGAGAAATGGTTGCATAATAAGAGGCGTACTTTATGGAGATATGTGAGGAAGATAGCGGTTAACCCTAGACTTGAATATGTTAAGATTGTAGTCATCGGGCAAGCATCCTCTTAGAAACAGGTTCTACAAAGTAGCTGTTTGTCGACAGATCCAAAAAGTGTGGATGATCCGACATAAGCCTTCACAACCTGAAGCAAATCATTGTTTTGGTTTTCTGACAAGTACATCTAATTAGTTCCACACATATCCGGCTACTGCGAAAAACTCTTCGAAACAGCATTTCAACTTCATTTTGTCCCTTGGAATGTACGAACTCTGCAGGACAACAACTCAGCACCAGAAAGAAAAAACAGCTCTGGTCGCATTGGAGCTAAAGAAGTGCAACATTGATATATCTGTACTGAGAAATAAGCATCAGTCGACTACATTAAATGAGAAAGCAAATTAAGACATCGAACAGTGTCTCCTGCTGCACTTGGATAGAATACATTCTCCTGTAATGTTTGTGCCCTTTTGTGCCCTTTTGTGCAATTCTTCAGCCGGTCTCAAAAGTCATACCCGTCATAGGCATGCTCAAAAGTCATACCCGTCATAGGCATGGAGATAATTAGTTCGTGGTCGTCGGAACCTCATAGATCGAACTCGATGGGAGAGTCCATCATATATATATATATATATATATATATATATATATATATGTGTGTGTGTGTGTGTGTGTGTGTATGCGTGAATAAAATAGGATATAGATTTTTTAAAAGGACAAACGAAAAATATTTAATCCAAATTAGATATGATTAAGCGTTTCACGTTTCTAGTCTTCATAATGTCAAAAACGTCCTTTTTGCCCTTTACTTTCCGGTGATGCTGAAATATGCATTTGCAGACACAGAGAACGGCGTCAAGTTTCAGTTTCGAACAACTGATTGCCTTTTCAATCATCAGCGCTTCAAAGCCAACAGCCAACTTCGTACACAAATTATTTGTGATTTGTTGTTTGCTGTTCTTGTAGCGACATCCTTTGAGGAGGTCTAACATCTAATAAATAGATTTTCTGGTCTTACACTTAGCATAAAGAAAACTGAAGTAGTGCACCAACCTTCTCCTACTCCGAAGCAATTCTGTGGTGAGAAACAAAATCCACCAGTCTACAATTTTCCAGGGAGACCATTGAAAGTAGAAGACAAAGCCCTGAACTATCTAAAGTCTTTCACCTATCTTGGTAGCAGGGTCAACTAGAGTGGAACTTTAGATGATGAAATCATGAATCGGATTGCTAAAGCTACGATTGCTTTCGGCAAACTTCGCCATCGCTTGTGGAATGAGCGGTGTATTCGATTGGATACGAAAATTTGGTTTTCCAAAGCTGTTGTACTTGGCATCCTTTTGTACAGCTCAGAGTCGAGGACTCCATACAGGTACAATATACGCAGGCTGGATGTTTTCCATAAAAGCTATCTGCGTGCAATGTGTGGAGTTAACCTTCAAGATAGGACATCTAACGTAAAACTGTTTAACAGGTGTAATATTGGAGGAATCGAGACTTTTCCCATACATTCTCAGTTACGGTGGACTGGCCATATCTTGAGAATGTCTGATGACAGTATACCCAAGATCCTAATGTACAGCCAGTTAGATCAGGGCTACAGGAATGTAGGACGCCCATGGCTAAGATACAAAGACAAGCTGAAGATGAAACTTGTCAGCTGTCAATATACCACATAACACCCTTGAGCGCTTAGCCTTGGAGTGGGTAGAATGGAGATCAACGTGTTTTAGTGAACTCAGCAGTTTTCAATCTGCTTGTCGGAATCATCGTCACGAAGCGAGAACAAGATCTAAAAGGTCAGCCAACCTAACAGTGATCTCATCTCAAAATCCTCACACTTGCTCCATATGCGGCATCCTTTGTAAATCACTAGCGGGTCTCAAATGCCACTTAAGATTATCACAGAAAATTCCATAACTGAATTAAGCTGTCAGATCCTCATACGTCGAAACCGACGGGAGAGTCAATTCTTTTTCTTCTTCTTCTTCTTCTTCTTCTTCTTCTTCTTCTTCTTCTTCTTCTCATTATTATTATTATTATTATTATTATATTCTATTTCATATCATATATATATATATATATATATATATATATATATATATATATATATAAAATATAGAATATATATATATATATATATATATTTCATATATATATATAAATATAGAATATATATATATATATATATATATATATATATATATATATATATAAAAGACGCTCCTGTTTTTCTTTTTCTTGATCTATAATAATAACTTATAAATAATATATATATATATATATATAAAATAACATATATATCCCATCCTGGGTATGACGATAAACTACATCCGCGTCCTAGGTATTTCATATATATATATATATATATATATATATATATATATATATAAAGATATATATATTTTTTTTTTTGATCCTGTTTTATTTTCTTGAAATATAATAATAACTTATAAATAATATATATATATATATATATATATATATATATATATAAATAAGATATATATCCCATCCTGGGTATGACGATAACCTTCATCCGCGTCCTGGGTAAGACGATAAACTATGTCCAACAGCAAGGCCTCCGATCAGGAGGTTTTGAGGAGCGTAGAACCACCTCTTAATTGCTGGTGTTCTCAGGTCCACCCTGACCCGGGTGCGGGGTAGCACCTGTTAGGGTTACAACTATGGGTAAATATTTAAACTGTGGTTAAAACACTATAAAAGTGTATAAATATGTTTTAATACTAGTAATAAGTTGTACAAAAAATTATTACCAGTAGTACATTTGCGAAAAAGAAGATATTACCAGGTATACAATACATTTTTGAAGAAAAAATATTATCAGAAATAAAAAAATTGTCGGCATTAAATAACCCATTAAGGGTGATATGCCATAAAATAAAACAAAACAAACAAAAATAACCGTATATATATATATATATATATATATATATATATATATATATATATATATATATATATATATATATATATATATATAGATATATATATATATATATATATAAATATGAACATATGTCAACATAGAACAGTCTGTTTCATGCTATATGCAATCGTCAGGCCACATATGCATGAAACAGACTGTCGCCTCTAAGTGTTGATTTATGTTCACTTTTTATATTTACACACGCTCTATCTCTGATATTGAGCACTTTATCCCATAAATATAGCACACCTTAAGACTATATTTCTTTATATATATATATATATATGTTTTGAACAATAACAAATATTACAAAAATTAAAATCTTCAGACACACACGTTTGTATATTAATATTCTTTCGTTTTTATTATTTCAGTTAGATTCCTTGACTAGTTTCGGTCAACATGGCCATCATCAGGAGAAAAAGAAATTGCTTGCTAGTAGCAGTGAACTACAGAAAAAATCACACACACACATACACACACACATATATATATATACATATGTGTATGTGAATTGATTTACAAAGACAATCTAAATATTACATGTCGAATATATATATATATATATATATATATATATATATATACGTATGTAGGTATTGTGCTTGTGTGTGTGCACGCCTATGTGTGCGTGTGCCTAATATAAACTTTATCTAAAGGCAAACTATCTGGCAAAACATAGCACACTCCTTCGCAAGTGTTGGACCAGTTGCTTCGTATGAAAATCCGTATGGTTCATGTACAACCCATGGACGCTGTTTTCACATGACTGCTACAGGGAAGAGTGAGGCGGTCGGTGAAAGGAAGCGGTCAGTTTCCAGCATTTTTGAAACTCGCCTGATTCAAGGGCAAACTTTCCACCTGTTCCCACATTCTGAGATTTGTCGACGGTATTCTCCGGTCGACCAGCAAGAAAGGATGAACGAAAGAAATGCGTGTTAGTTTGCCGCTTCCACGTAAATATACAGAACCCGAGCAAAGAGATAAGTAAACAGCCGTGTAATCTAAACATTCTGTGGTAGGTGCAAATCATCGCCAAGACGTAGGGTGTGATTTTTGAATAAGGTAAGGTGGACATTGAGAACAGACCCCTTTTTCTAGTTGGCCAGTTTAGCAGAAATTTACATGGCATTTACTTGCGAAATGTTTGTTTGATTTCTCAAGTTTTTTTTTTCTGTTAACATTTTAATCCAAAGAAGGCAAAATAACCCCTAAGGCGCAAGAGGTTACTGAGAGTGAAAAAAAAACAGAGAGGATAATAAAAGAACAAGTTTCAAAGAGACACAGGATGATGACTGGCATTATATTTAGATTATTGAATTTGACAAGGACAAGAAGCCGGAAGAGAGTTTCACAAGCGAGAAGTGCTAGGGAAGAAATCATCACCATAGAATTTATGGTTAAAAGTAGTAATTTCCAGATTGAAATTAAGAGACCTAACTGCCAATCTAGTACTGAACTCAAATTTATAAAGTTACGGTACCAACAAAGAAAAAACTCACCAGAAAATTACTGTAGAAGTGAACGTGGGAAAGTGTATAACGAAACTGCAATAGCAAAATCGTCCCACAAAAAATTTAAGAATGTCAATATGCCATGTTTAGCTATGCTTAACAAATATTGCAAAAAATATTCAGAATTTGAAAGTCCCGAGAAAATGTCACAGTTTTCCTATTTTAATTTTCTGGTGAATCTGAATTCTTCGGTTAATAGAAATGAATAAGCTCATGGCGAGTTCTAGGACTATAAAATAACCGTGGAAATTTCCCTATCATTTGAGCTTAACAAATTTAACAAAATATTGCAATGACAATCAGAAATATGAATGCTGGTCATTATTTTAAGAAAGGTGTACAAATGAAAGATTTGGAATTGACTACTTCTTTGATTTCATTGAAACAGACTTTAAACACTGCCATCTTTCTTTCCTTCTTTCTTTCCTTCTTTCTTTCCTTCTTTCTTTCCTTCTTTTTTTTCTTTCCTTATGTCTTGTTTTTCTAGGCAGTCTGTGGAATAATCCATTATTTATAAGGTACATTTGGCGTGAAACACTTCTTCTTCTTTCTTTCTTTTTTTCTTTCTTTCATTCTTTCTTTGTTTTTTCTTTTTCTTTCTTATGTCTTATTTTTTCTTGGTAGTCATCCAATAATCCATTATTTATAAGGTACATGTAGGTGGCGTGAAACACTTCTATCTTCCTTTCTTTCTTTCTTTCTTTCTTTCATTCTTTCTTTCTTTCTTTCTTTCTTATGTCTTATTTTTCTTGGTAGTCACAACGGAATAATCCATTATTTATAAGGTACATGTAGGTGGCGTGAAACACTTCTATCTTCCTTTCTTTCTTTCTTTCTTTCTTTCTTTCTTTCATTCTTTTCTTTCTTTCTTTCTTATGTCTTATTTTTCTTGGTAGTCACAACGGAATAATCCATTATTTATAAGGTACATGTAGGTGGCGTGAAACACTTCTATCTTCCTTTCTTTCTTTCTTTCTTTCTTTCTTTCTTTCTTTCTTTCTTTCTTTCTTATGTCTTATTTTTCTTGGTAGTCACAACGGAATAATCCATTATTTATAAGGTACATGTAGGTGGCGTGAAACACTTCTATCTTCCTTTTCTTTCTTTCTTTCTTTCTTTCTTTCTTTCTTTTCTTTCTTATGTCTTTTTTTTTCTTGGTAGTCAACGGAATAATCCATTATTTATAAGGTACATGTTGGCGTGAAACACTCTATCTTTTCTTTCTTTCTTTCTTTCTTTCTTTTCCATTATTTATAAGGTTCTTATGTCTTATTTTTCTTGGTAGTCACAACGGATAATCCATTATTTTAAGGTACATTTGGCGTGAAACACTTATCTTTTTCTTTTTTCTTTCATTCTTTCATTCTTTCTTTCTTTCTTTCTTATGTCTTATTTTTTCTTGGTAGTCACAACGGAATAATCCATTATTTATAAGGTACATGTAGGTGGCGTGAAACACTTCTATCTTCCTTTCTTTCTTTCTTTTCTTTTCTTTTCATTCTTTCTTTCTTTCTTTCTTCCTTTCTTATGTCTTATTTTTTTCTTGGTAGTCACAACGGAATAATCCATTATTTATAAGGTACATGTAGGTGGCGTGAAACACTTCTATCTTCCTTTCTTTTTCTTTCTTTCTTTTCTTTCTTTCTTTTCATTCTTTCTTTCTTTCTTTCTTTCTTTCTTATGTCTTATTTTCTTGGTAGTCACAACGGAATAATCCATTATTTATAAGGTACATGTAGGTGGCGTGAAACACTTCTATCTTCCTTTCTTTCTTTCTTTCTTTCTTTCTTTCATTCTTTCTTTCTTTCTTTCTTTCTTTCTTATGTCTTATTTTTCTTGGTAGTCACAACGGAATAATCCATTATTTATAAGGTACATGTAGGTGGCGTGAAACACTTCTATCTTCCTTTCTTTCTTTCTTTCTTTCTTTCTTTCTTTCTTTCTTTCTTTCTTTCTTTCTTTCTTCTTTCTTATGTCTTATTTTTCTTGGTAGTCACAACGGAATAATCCATTATTTATAAGGTACATGTAGGTGGCGTGAAACACTTCTATCTTCCTTTCTTTCTTTCTTTCTTTCTTTCTTTCTTTCTTTCTTTCTTTCTTTCATTCTTTCTTTCTTTCTTTCTTTCTTATGTCTTGTTTTTCTAGGCAGTCACAACGGAATAATCCATTATTATTTTTAAGGTATTGCCAGGAGTCATGAAACACTTCCATCTTCCCTTCTTTCTAGCCAAATCCCCGTCTTGCGAACATGTCACTTAATAATATTTTTTAAATAATAATATATATATATATATATATATATATATATATATATATATATATATATATATATATATATAAGTTCGCAGGTATGCAGAAAAAAGGAAAGAACACGTTTGGTGCATAATCCGGAGTTCCTTAGTATTTTTTTATTTTTAAGAAGACAGTTACTTAATTTTAATCATTATTTGGATGGTTTAGGCTCTAGTTTTTGAAACATGAGAACTCTTATATAGCGAAGGAATCATATTTTTAAACAAAAAAATATATTATATATATATATATATATATATATATATATATATATATATATATATATATATATATATACGTTTATTAGAAAATAAGCATCTCGATGAAAGTGTTGTTTATACAGAGATTTTAGAGTGGTAAGAGAAATTCTATGGCAACTGAAATTTCTCTGTTCGTAGAACGTGTATTTGGCTAGTAATTAAAAAAAGAGAAAAGAAAGAAAGGAGTGAAGAAAGAAAGAACACAACAAAAGTAAACAAATTCTGTTTGCATTAGTACCGGGCGGTAACGTGACCTTTTAACTCGTAAGTGCGACACTGCGCATGCTTGTATATCGCTGATTGGCTCCCATCTTCATAACGTCATCGCTTATATTTTGACGCTTGAATTTTACAGATAGTAGTATTAATCATCCTTTTTATCTTGCGAGATAATGGCAGCGATGTTTTTGGTCAAATATTGGCCCTTTTTTTGAACAGTGTTTGGAGTGGCTTAACAGACCAATCATTGCATGGCAGTCTCTTTCGCAGGCGTGACAGATGAAACTGGAATGTGGAACGGAAGTCTGACATCGCTCTTCATTCGTTCTCTTCTTATCTCCAACAGGTAATTTTGCCTTTTCCCGGTCCAGCTAGCAAAATCAATGCCGGTGCGTTTCACGCCCTTCTTGCAAATGTCCTTGAAACGTAGTATGGTCTACCGGAGGGTGTCCTTTGTCCAGCTCACCATACATGATCTCCTTTGGTATACGGCCGTCATTCATTAGACGTACGTGACACAGCCATAAAGATAGCTCGTTTGGTATTTAATAACTCCGCTTTAGGTTACTTTGTCTCGGAGGTTTTATACGGCATTTAATAAACCATAACTGGACTAGAAGGACGCCTGACGGAGTAATGGATAGCGGCTCGAATTGAGTAATTGGTGAGCCGAGTTCGAATTCCACTCGAAACGATTACATTCACTTACGAAAAGGAAAGGTATATATCTTCGTCTTCTCCTCGGAACTATGTGTAATAACAGAGCAGACCGTGTTCTATGGCCCTGGATGGCAACTGGTCTACCGCAGAAACAAATGGCAACCTACTGCGGGAAAAAATCTGCCACATCAATCAAGTATCGAAAGATTACATGATCACCTAAGCGTGTATTTCGCATGGCACATCACTGACTGAAATTCACTTACATGCTAATACCCTTGGGAAACATATGAATCTTCTTCTTATCCACCCCACCCCACCCCAGCTATGGGTAAATAGCAGGACAGACTAGGTTCTATAGCCTTGGATGGCAATTGGTCTAGCGCAGAAAGAAATGACAACCGGGGGAAAAATATCTGCCTCGTCAGTCATGTATCGAAAGATACACGATCGTCTAAACGTGTATCACTCATGGCACATAACTGATTGAACTGGACTAGCGAAAGAGTGTTGGATTGCTATGCAATATCCGCCCTCTTATACTGCAATAAATGCTGCAGAATCTCCCTACGGACGAAGAGAAAACTGGAGGTATCATAAATGTGGTTCTACAGAAGGATACTGAGAATTTCATGGACGGAACGAATAAGAAACGAAGAAGTCTCAAAGCAAATGGCAGCAAAATGAATCAGGTCGAGACAAGTGAAATTCCTTGAAAGAAGAAGAACCTAACATTCACAGGATATAAAGAGTGTTTCATTAAGACGTATTATATATAAGGGTGTTTCATTAAGACGGATCAAAGTCAGCAGTAAATAAATCAGTGTTATTGGTGAGAATTTATTTACTTCGATCATGTTAGTGAAGTCATGGCAATTATGTATAAAAAAAATAATATCGCCCAAATGTCCGCCAAGGATTCGACGGCACACCTCCACTCGATGGTCAAAATATTTGATGACCGTCTGTGCATAGTTGCTCCTCGATCTCACCAATATGCCTTATTATCTCATCCTTCAGCTGCTGAAATGTTGTTGGCTTGTTGGCATAGACCTTACTTTTGAGATGACCCCAAAGGAAGAAATCTAAAGGCGTCATGTCGCACGAATCGTGGTGGCCAATTGACTTGGCTGTTTCGAGAGATAATGCTACCTGGAAAATTCTCATTCAAATTCAGCTTGAACGTCCATTTTCGTAATTGGATTCGATAACTTTAACACGTTGCTTGATTGTTAATCATTCCATGATTGAAATTTCCAAAGACTTAAATTGTTAAATCTGAAAGAATAAGAAGAAAAAATAATCATTAGACGCTTAAACTTAATTCACATTTAAAATCGGTCCAAATTATTGGAACCCCGTTTATATATTACCGAAAAAATATTTTAAAGATTTGGATAGACAAAAACAAAAAAACTTCCAGGCTTCCAGGCACACACACACACACACACACACACACACACACACACACACACACATATATATATATATATATATATGTATGTGTGTGTGTATGTATATATATATATATGAAGAAATATAGTCTTAAGGTGTGCTATATTTATAAGATAAAGTGCTCAATATCAGAGATAGAGCGTGTTTAAATATAAACGTGGCCTGACGATTGCATATAGCATGAAACAGACTGTTGCCTCTAAGTGTTGACTTCTATTTTCACTTTTATATATATATATATATATATATATATATATATATATATATATATATATATATATACCCAGTGTAACAGCAAAAAATGTCCAGTTGTTAGATTAAGCTCTGAACGGTTTTATCTTGGGCATCATTAAAAAATATCTTACTGGAATGAGTATAGAGGACTTTATGTATTTGCATTCTAGCGAACAGCTCTCTCACACAATCACCCCATTCCCACGATGCAATAATAATAATAATAATAGAAGAAGAAGAAGCAGAAGAAAAACTTAAAAAGATTTTTTTATTTGTTTTCCTTTCCTTACTTTTTATATATATATATATATATATATATATATATATATATATATATATATATATATATATATATATAGGCATTGCAGGATGGGACAATATCTGCACTTGAAAACCTACTGCATTTATCAGAAGGAAACGGTAAGAAATTGGTATGAAAACCACCGAAAACTGGTTACAAACATAGAGCCTGTAACAATATTGGAAGACTTTAAAATAGGTACAAATATGGCAATTAAAGATAATGATTCAGACACAGGGATCAAAAACGACAAAAACAAAATATGCTTTCGTATTGACATGGCAATTCTCCCTGCAGATTCTAATGCAGCAATGAAGATCTTGCAAAAAATACCCCACCAAAAACTCTCCATCACAAATGTCAAAATTCAAGAACCTTTGGATTTGAAATCTCAAAAATGTGACAAATGAATACAGCATTAATTCCAGTTGTGGTTAGAGCCCTGAGTTTGAATGGAAAAAGATTTTGATACACCCATTGAACTCATGGAAACTCATGCCTTGAAGAAATACAAAAGGAATTCTTACAAGCACAACCTATATTCTACAAAGATATTAATCTAAGTAAAAAAATCTATGTGTTTCTAAGTAGTTTCATATTTATTACACAGATGTTCAGTGGAAAATATTATAATGCTATTTCTGACCTTTAGATCTCAGAATGGCACCCAGAAGGAAATTAAAACAAAGGAAATAATGAAAATAATAATAATAATAATAATAACCGAAATTTAATTCGCTAGAAGCATGATTAGGAAACCTTGATCTGAACATGTAAGCAACGACGAAGTTTTAGGGAAAATAGAAACAAAAAAAGGTACTTATAATTACCATCAGGAGGAGACGGTTAAAATTTGTCAGGCACATAATGAAAATATAAATAAATATTTGTATATATAAAAGAACGTATAAACATAAAAAAATGTCTTAAAATAATTTTCAGATTTTGTCCATTTCATAATAATATATATATATATATATATATATATATATATATATATATATATATATATATATATAAAGAAAGAACAGTAAGATATATAATACGGTGTTCTTATAGATATTTTATTTTTACAAAATAGTGCTCAATGTAAATATACAGAGCATTAATATTATAAATTAATTGATTTAAAATATGGTTTTTTTCCGCTACACATGTTTCAAAAATGGATGCTAAAAGCCCCGAATTTAATTTTGTAATTAAATTAAAGACATTAGTTCCATTTCATCCTCAAGCGAATTTTGGAGTAACTTTTAAAATTACTGGGTTTTAAAGACACAGCTAAAATCATAATTCATGTTTCCAAGGTTACAGATGAATTCATTTTACTAGACAAGGGGTGTCTGGGTCTTCATTATGTCTATATTTTAATGTATCAGTTATTGCTACGTTTTGGTAGTGGGTAGGGATGTATTTTTCAATGAAATCTAACATCCGTTAAAAGCGTGGATTTTTTTAAAATTTTATTGTTAACGGCAAAAATTCTTACGGCATTTTTTTCCTTCGTATATTTAAAGATTTTTGTGGGTGTTTATATATATATATATATATATATATATATATATATATATATATATATATATATATAAATGGAAATACGTTTCTTTTGAAAATAGATATGATTATGCGTTTTGCCATTCAAGTCTTCTTCAGATCCAAAAACGTATATTTGTAATGTTTGTATACTTAAATAATGAATCATGGCACTTCTTCCCTAAGGTGGCCTTTTTCGAGGTTAAAAAAAAAGAATATGAGTGAATTTTAATATGTATTCAGTTCCATTTGTATCTGGGTCCCTCGGATTGATTGGAAAAAGTTCCAATAGATTCATTGAAGGGAGTCTTTTAGCTCAACCCTTAACGAAATACAAAAATTGTACTAGCAAGTAGAGCCCTCATATTACGAAGGGCTTTACCTATGTAAAATGTGTGTGATCCTAGAGGGGTTTTGTTGTTTTTTTTTCGCATTCGAAAATGGCGAGATGCCACTTCTGACCTTAGATCCCGAAAGAAATGTATATACCCCAGACAAGGAAATAAAATGATAATTATAACGAGTATTGCGTATGATAAAGAAGTATACTGAAAATCATGTAAAAAGTAGGATTCTTGGACATAGCATCGCAGATTTACCAAAGATTACTTGATTCGGAACGGCACATATCATCCATAAAACCTTCTGCATTTAATCTAAACGAATCCCAAATAATCATAGATAACAATCCTACTGTGAACATTTACTCATATACTTTGGAGTTTGAATTGACAATTAGGCAATTAAAATTGCTCTCTGGTAAGATGATATTACAACACATAGACAGAGAGAGAACAATCAAAGCTAATTTCCTAGACATCGTGATCAAAGACCACAAGAACAGAATGGGCTTTCTCAATGACATATCACTCCCTTCAGATTGTAATGTATCTTTGAAGATCTTTAAAAAAAAAACTGTCAAAATACAAGGATCTTATGTGGAAATCGTGAAAAATGGGACACATGAAGACCTCAATAATTCCAGTTGTAGTTGGCGCCCACGGATTGATTAGAAAAGTTTCCGACAGACTCGTTGAAGGGATTCCCGGTAGCCCACGCCTTAAAGACATACAAAAGATTACACAGTGGAACCCGGATATAAGAGAGTTGTCGGGACCAGAGAAGAAGTCTCTTATATCCGGGTTTCTCTTATATCCGGATTTGGTCTATTTTATATACATTAACACAGGCTCTAATTTGGGACCAGAGAAAATCTCTTATATCCGGGTTTCTCTTATATCCGGGTTACACTGTATATATACAGTGTAACCCGGATATAAGAGAGCTGTCAGGACCAGAGAAGAAGTCTCTTATATCCGGGTTTCTCTTATATCCAGGTTTGGTCTATTTTATATACATTAACACAGGCTCTAATTTGGGACCAGAGAAAATCTCTCTTATATCCGGGTTTCTCTTATATCCGGGTCTCTTATATCCGGGTTACCCTGTACTGACAATTACAGCTCACACATTATGGAGAGCTTTAATTATGTAAAATGTGTCTGATATTAGTGTTTTTCGTTTTTATTTTATGATATAAAACATCAGTGAATCCATTTCTGAACTTAGGTCTCTGGTTGGGACCCGGGAGGAAAAGAGTATACAACAAAACTCCAAGGAAATAATAATAATAATAATAATAATGATAATAATAATAATACTTTAAAAAGACAGCAAAGACGAATGCAACCGACCAGATACA